TTTATATGGGTTTTCAAAATCTATCACAAGTAAAAAGTATATTCAGAAATATAAACCATCTATTGAAAATGTAAGAGCAAACGACTTTATCCTATAAGATACATAAAAACGTTCGTAGTTATTCTGTTATTTAGAGTTCTTGATCTGTGCTTTGTTTGATCTGCATGCTCTATTTGATCTGCATGCTCTAGTACGTAGGTGTTGCTCTTTGGGTAATCTTGTAGTGCAGTTACCATGATTTGTGAATTTTAGTTGTTCTAGTTTAAACATAATGCAGACTTGAGGACTTAAATCTGTTTCAGTTCAAATTGTAAAATTGTAAAATACGTCAATTATCAGTTCTGGATTTTGCTTTGTTTCATAGAATTCTGCTTGTATTTTTGTAATTGTTGCCTCTGTAGATGGTTATATTTTTCGGAAGTTTTGAGTTATGTAACTTCATGTTGAACATCTAGTAGTTTTAGGCATTTTAGCTAGATTTATTAGGTTAGTTTATACCTCTAAAGAACGTGTTCATGTTTTCATTCTTCCATTTGCTTTGCATGGTCTTTTTTCTAGTTTTCAGTTTTGAATAGATCCTAAACTGGTCATTGTAATGTTTGAACAAGTGAATGAGAATTAACATGTTGATTACCGGAAAAGTGCGAATTACCGACGGCATATTACCGAAGGCTTGTAAGCCGTTGGTATTGAGATAATTACCGAAGGCTTTTAAGCCGTCAGTAACGTTCTTGCTAATTCAAGTCCCAAATTGGGGCTTTCGTTCCCCAATTTGATTTTATTCACTTGCACGCTTTCGTCTCTGTCGTCCCTTTCTTCACATATTTCCTTGTGTTTCTTCACACACTTCCCTCCATTTCTTCACGCTCTCCACTTTCTCGGTTAGTCACTGGTGGTGGTCCTTCACTATGGTGACTGGCCTCCTTGATCGCAGTTCGTTCACGGTGCGTGGTGGTTTGGGGTGTCTTAGGCTACGATTTTTATGCGGGTTGGTCGCTACATTGAGGGCTGTTGGTGTCGAGGTTGAGGGACTTTGTTGGAGTGGCCGTAGTGGGCTTATGTTGCTGTCGTGCTCGTGAAGGGCTATCTCGGTAGAGGTAAGTTCCACAGAATTTCATTCACATTCTCATGTTCATATTGCTGAAGCCTAGACAGTTTTGCTGCCTTCATCTACTTTTCATTCACTTGTTAGTATGTGATTGAAGGAACGTGGTTGAGGGATTTCGTTGGAGGGGCCGTTGTGGGCTTGTGTCGGTGTCGTGCTGTACAAAGGTTGCCATCGTCAAGTGCTATCTTGGTTGAGTAAGTTGTGCGTTTAAAAATTCATTATGATTTACAATGTTCTGGAATGTGTTTGATGTTCTTGTGGCAGCAGTGTATGTGCTTGTTTGATTGAGAAAGTTTATTGTTTTGTAATTGAAATGAGTGGCAAGGCATTGCATGGAAGGTTAAAATAGCCTTAGCCATAGTTTACGGAAAATAAAAGCAACCGAGCAGGTGAAGATTGAAGAAGAGTGCTAATTGATGTAACTATTGCCTTTGCTTCTAATGCCTGCAACTACGAACTTAACCTTTCAACCTCTAACTTCCCCTTGACCTGCTTCCATTCAACGTACACATGATGTTATATATTGTAAATGGTTGATACTATAACTTTCCTAATCATAAGTAATTTGTAGGTTTTGGTGCCTTTGCTTGGCACGGTATGTTTGTCCAAAGGCAAAGGCACCAAAACATTAGTCTATTACCGTGCCAGTGCAGGCAAAGGCACCAAAACCTACAAATTACTTTTGATTAGGAAAGTTATAGTATCAACCATTTACAATATATAACATTATGTGTACGTTGAATGGAAGCAGGTCAAGGAGAAGTTAGAGGTTGAAAGGTTAAGTTCGTAGTTGCAGGCATTAGAAGCAAAGGCAATAGTTACATCAATTAGCACTGTTGCTCAATCTTCACCTACTCGGTTGCTTTTATTTTCCGTAAACTACGGCTAAGGCTATTTTAACCTTCTCACTGGCATGCCAATGCCTTGCCCCTCATTTCAATTACAAAACCATAAACTTTCACAATCAAACAAGCACATACATTGCTGCCACAAGAACATCAAACACATTCCAGAACATTGTAACTCATAATGAATTTTTAAACGCACAACTTACCTCAACCAAGATAGCACTTGACGATGACAACCTTTGTGCAGCACGACACCGACACAAGCCCACAACGGCCCCTCCAACGAAATCCCTCAACCACGTTCCTTCAATCACATATTAACAAGTGAATGAAAAGTAGATGAAGGCAGTAACACTGTCTAGGCTTCAGCAATATGAACATGAGAATGTGAATGAAATTCTGTGGAACTTACCTCTAGCGAGATAGCCCTTCACGAGCACGACAGCAACATAAGCCCATTACGACCACTCCAACAAAGTCCCTCAACCTCGACACCAACAGCCCTCAACGTAGCGACCAACCCACTTAAAAACCGTAGCCCAAGACTCCCAAACCACCACGCACCGTGAACGAACCGCGGTTAAGGAGGCCAGTCACCACCGTGAAGGACCACCACCAGTGACTAACCGAGAAAGTGGGGAGCGTGAAGAAATGGAGGGAAGTGTGTGAAGAAACACAGGAAAGTCTGTGAAAAAAGGGATGACAGAGACGAAAGCGTGCAAGTGAATAAAATCAAATTGGGGAACGAAAACCCCAATTTGGTACTTAAATTAGCAAGAACGTTACCGACGGCTTAAAAGCCTTCGGTAATTATTTCAATACCGACGGCTTACAAGCCTTCGGTAATATGCCGTCTGTAATTCGTACTTTTCCGGTAATGTTGGGAGACTTTGAGAATGAGATTTTTGGAGAAGTATATTTTTGATAGTGAAAAATTTTCAAAATGAAAGCTAAAATAATATTTAAATATATGGAAGAAAAGTGTTTGAAGTTGTTTTAATAAAATAATAGGTTAAAAAAATACTAAATTATCCTATGTGTTCATCGTGTTATTTCATTTGTGATGAAAGTGTGTTTCACAAGAGTAAAAGATGTTTCGGATGGAAAGACTTTAGCAATGAGTGTAGAGGAAAGATAAGAAGAAAATGTTTTATATTTTGTACAGAATTTCTTTTTTGAATAATTGTTATAGATGTATGTATGTATTTGTTTTAAACTTCTTATGAAGTGAGAATACTTTTATTTTTGAAAAAAAAATAGTTATATATGTGTATATATTAAAATGTTTTATGAATAGTTTATTAAGTCTCGAGAGAGTCATGAGAGAGAACAAAATATCAGTGGGTTTAAAGAGAAGGCAGAAAGAAAACGAGAGCACTCGTCCTAGGGCTTCAAGAAGAAAGAAGACCCTCTTCACGCACACACACAAATCTCAGAGAGAGAGCACTGGAGAACAATGGAGGAGAAGATCAGAGACAGAGGAAAGACACACACTCTCAAAGGTACTGCAATTAAATTTCTGATGATTTTTGTGTAAGATTACAACTTTTATACATGTAACAAAGTAAACTGATGTTTGGTTTTGTTTACCATCTAAGATAGTTAGTACTAATTCAGCTGTGAGATGTGACATTACATTGAACAACTAAGTCAATAAACTTAATGCACTATTTAGCGCAAATATATTCACCCTACCAAATATGAGTTCCTGTGGAAGAAAATATTTCATACAATATATAACTCATTGAAAGAATGATCCGGAAAAGCTTACGTAAGTATATGAATATATTTTCTCATGTAAAAAGAAATAATAAAAAGAAAGTAATAAAAAAATGACATTAGAAAAATGATTAGAGAGAAACAATACAAAAGTGAATGTAGGAAAATTTTAGAAATCAAATAATAGAAGTATTGATTCAAATTGACAATTGTTCACTTATATTTATTGCATTAACTTAAATTATATATTTATTTTAAATTGTTGATGAAAAGTTATATGGAAGAATTATTGTTTAATGCTCATTTACTATTTGCCCTTGCGTGTGATTAAAGATTTTCTATTTAATTAATTATATTAATGACAAAATCATGCAAACAATAAAAATATTGTAAATGTTGTGTAACCAAGTGTATACTAAACATATTACACTTGCTATAATACTTATAAATTTATGTACAGTGATTTATTTTTAATGATTTTCCTGATACTTAAAAATGTTACTAAATACTGTTTTTTTTTGTAAATATCATTAAAATAAATAAATACCAACAAGTTATTAATATGAATAATACTGTACTTAATTTTCTTATACAAGATTTCGAATTTGAGCCTTGTAAATTATAGAAAGAAAAACAAGGCTTATATTAAAAATATCCAGCAATTTTTTTCTGTAAAGATCTGTAAATCACAAGACCTACCTGTTGTAAGAATATTAAAATAAATCATTTATATTTTTAAAATAATTCCAAAAGTAAATTAAGTTTTCTAAAATCTTACCAAAATGTAAACATTCTCGAAAACCACTTATCAATTTTCCCCCAAATCCCACTGATTTGTTTCTCTTCAAGGATTATGACACCTGGTCTTTTTTTTTTCCAAAAGAAAAACTATAAAAAAAATTCCATTTTACTTTAATTAAAGGAGAAAAATTAGGGAATTTTAAAAACTATTAAATTTTGAAAACTCAAAAAGTAATTTCTTTATTCCTTAAAAAATAAAAAGCACATACATACTAAGAGTGTTATATTGGATAAAGTTTTCATTCTTTTCCTATATGTGGTATTACCAAATTCTACAAAACCAATGGGCTAACTAAACATTTGCAAGAATTAATTCCATTTTTAAACCATTTTGAAATTAATATTATTTGACCACTCTGCTGTTTATGGTTTACACGCAATACAAAAAATAATTAATTGTATATGGTGATAAAAATAATTTATGAGGTACAGGAACATGAGAAAATTTAATTTAAAATATTTAATGTAGGTTTTAAAAGCAAAGAGTGTCAATCAACAAAAATGATAAATTTAGTGTGATCTTCTTTTGGATTGAGAAAACCTAATTTTTGGTTCATCTCCTCAATCCCTTCTCTCTCTTTCAAAATGAAGTTTCTTCTCCAATTTCCTCTTCTCAAAGGGAACAACAACAATAGATCAAAACAAACAATGTCACAAAAAGTTACAATACTAGTAGTATTCTCATCCTTGTTCGTATTCCTTATCACCATAATTTCTTATTCTTTGCTGTGGAAGATCAATGAATTCAGGGGGCTGGGGCTATCTATTGATATTGATTATGGTTTGAAGAATGAGACAGAAAGTCTGCAGAATCAGACAGAAAGTCTGAAAAATGTGACAGAAAGTTTGAAGGATCAGACATGTTTGAGGAATGATACAGAAAATTTGAGGTATAGTTTGAGGAATGAGAGAGAAAACATGGCATCAAAACCTTTGAAGAAGTGTGACATTTTCAGTGGGGAATGGGTGCCAAATCCTGAAGCACCATACTACACAAACACAACATGTTGGGCAATTCATGAACACCAAAACTGCATGAAACATGGGAGACCAGATTCTGAGTTCATGAAGTGGAGATGGAAGCCAAATGAGTGTGAACTTCCCATCTTCAACCCTTTTCACTTTCTAGAAATTATGAGAGGAAAATCAATGGCTTTTGTTGGAGACTCCATTGGCAGAAATCACATGCAGTCCATGATTTGCCTGTTATCTAGGGTTAGTCTCTTCTTCTATCTTTTCTCAATCTTCAACTTCGAAAATCATGTTATTACCATAATTATCTTTTCTTTATTTTACTCCTTCATTTTCGATATCAATTATAGTTGTCCTTTTTTTTCTCTGTCTTTGTTTATGTTTATATATAGTAATGCATCTCAACATGTGTCAACTCATGTTTTAATTCATATGTCACCAGTTCATGTTTTTTTTTCCACTGATAATATAATACATGTTAATATGAAGAATTGTCATATATAATTAAAATGATTAACTTTTATACTTTTAAATTTTTTTATTTTAATTAATGGTTTACAGACAGACTTTAGCCGGCAAGTGAACAAAATTTTCATGATAATATATAGTTTGATTTTTATAATGCATTAATTATAAAGGAAAGGTACTTGACAACCAATAAGTTTAATAGTTGTTGAATATTTGACTAAGGGACAAAGAAAGTAAGAAGAGTCTCTATTTTTTTTATAGTATTTTAATAAAATTCAATTCAACTTGTTATTGTAATATATATTATCTACAAAACTAAAAAATAGTGCTGCATGTATGAAATTTATTTTTTATCTGCTTCGATAGTTACTTGTTATTAAATCATACATGTTATGTGGTCACTAAATTTAGTTAGATGATTAGTCGTATAGTTATCAACATGTTATATTTTTAGCTTAAAACCAAAACTATAGATATGAATAGTTAATAGATACAACTATTATATATATATATGTATGTATGTATGTATGTGTGTGTATTCTTTAAAAATAGATACATGTAACACTATTAAAAATGTTTTTTTAAAGTGAATTCAAAAAGTTATCATTTCTAAATTAAATTTTAAAAGGTATTAGTTTTAAATTAAACTATTGAACTAGGTATTAATAAAATAACAATAATAATTATATAATTTAAAAATAATATTAAATAAATATAATATCATAATTTCAAAACACTAAAACTATTTACCATGTATACGCTTGTATTTCAATTAGTTAAAATATGATAGAAACACACAAGTCACTAGAAACATTATTAATTTTTTTATTATTAAAGCTATGGAAAAAAATGCATACAATCGTAAAGTTAACTTTTTCTTATTATATTTATAATGTTATAATTATATAATAAGAGTATTTGTAATCTTTTAAGACAACTACTTTGTTGTTAGTAGTTTCCTAAAATCATTAAAGTTTCTTGTGTTTATCTATATTGTGTACTTTTGGTAACTATTTTTGGTGTTATATCATAATTAGATAAGTTTATCTTTTAATAAATACAAATAATTTTTTGTTTAATAAAATAAGTAGTTTATACCATTATATAAAAATGATATAACTAGACAATTTTATCTTTAATAAATAGAAAACATTTTTCTATTTAATAAAGTCAATAATTAAAGAATGTCTTTATTAAAAGGAATTACATAACTTTTCCAATTAAAAACAATCAACATTATTATTATTCTTATTATTTTAATAGTATCCTTACAAAATTATATATTTCTAAACTCTATTATTTTAATAATTTATATCCTTTTAAAAAAGTGTGTATTTTAAAACTGTTTTAGTTTGATGTAATAAAAATGTTGATGCACATATATCATACTAAAATAATGCGAATCAAAAAACAGCTGTGACAGAGTGATGGCCAAGCAAAGATAAACCTTAATCCTCATTATTCATCCTGTATAATAAAGTCTGAAAGTGCTCAATATATATTCAGCACATTGTTACAAAATAAAAAGAAGAAAATAAAGAGGATTACAGCCTGTCTAACACAATAACAGAATGCTAGAAATATCTACCAAAATCTACCACAGTAACAGAAAGCAAATAAACATAACAAACCAGGGGTAGAAACGATATTTCTCACACCCTCCCTCAAGATGGGTGGTGAATGTTTAGCAATCCCATCTTGGATAAATTGATGTTGAAAGGTCCAGGATAAAGTGACTTAGTAAACATATCTGCCAATTGATGCTTCGAAGGAACATGAGAAAGAACAATGAGTCCATCAAGAACCTTAGCACGAATAAGATGACAATCCACTTCAATATGTTTGGTGCGTTCATGAAAGGATGGATTCTTAGCCAGTTGAATGGCAGACTGATTATCACAAAATGTAGGAAAAGGACTTGGAATTTTAAGGCATAAATCATCAGCAACATACTTCAACCATTGCAATTCACAAGCAACAGAGGCTAAAGCTCTGTATTCAGCTTCAGTAGAGCTCCTGGACACGGTGGATTGCTTCTTTGATTTCCAAGAGATAAGACAATTCCCATAGAATACACAATAACCAGTGATGGATTTTCTAGAGATGCAACAAGTAGCCCAATCGGAGTCAGAAAAAGCTTGAAGTCTGTGAGGATTGCTGGAAGGATAAAAGAGGCCTAATCCAGGACAACCTTTGAGGTATTTCAAAATCCTGAAAACAGCATTGAGATGAGAGGATCTGGGCTTGGACATGAACTGACTAACTTGCTGAACAGCAAAAGAAATATCAGGCCGTGTGTTTGTTAGATACTGTAGTTTGCCAATTAATCTCCTATAAGAAGTAGGATCTGAAAGAAGATCACCATCATCATCATTTAGCTTATCGGTAGGATTTGAAGGAGAAGGTGCTGGTTTACATCCAGTGAGACCAAATTCAGCTAAAATTTCTAAGCAATATTTTCGTTGATTCAAGACAAGACCCTGTTGTGATCTAGCAACTTCAAAACCAAGGAAATACTTGAGATTTCCCAAGTCTTTGATGCGGAATTCTTGATGTAAAAATTTCTTAACAGCAACAATATCATCCATGCTATCACCAGTTAGAACGATATCATCCACATATATTAGAAGAGCAGTAAAAGAGGTAGCAGACTGTCGAAGAAATAATGAATGATCAGCGGTACTCTGAGAAAATCCATAAGAAAGTAAGGCAGTTGTGAGCTTAGCATTCCATTGTCGAGAAGCTTGGCGAAGACCATAGAGAGACTTGTGCAATTTACAAACCAAATGAGGTTCGGGAAGAATCAAGCCCGGCGGAGGTTTCATATAAACCTCTTCATCCAAATCACCATGCAAAAAAGCATTATCAACGTCAAGCTGGTGTAAAAACCAGTTATGAGAAACAGCAATGGAAAGGAGAAACCTGACAGTTGTAAGCTTCACAACAGGGGAAAAAGTATCAAAGAAATCCATGCCTTCAGTTTGTGTGAACCCTTTGGCAACTAAGCGTGCCTTATATCTTTCTATAACCCCAGCTGCATTCAATTTAGTCTTGTAGACCCATTTGCAACCAACAACTCTTTTCTTTGGTGGTAATCGGACCAATGACCAAGTTCTATTCCTCTCAAGAGCCTTAATTTCCGCAAGCATGGCCTGCTGCCAATGAGCATGTTGACAAGCCTCTTTAAAAGAAGATGGCTCAATGAAAGCAGATAAAGACATGCAAAAAACAGTGTGAGAGTCAGAACATTTGGAATATGACAAGTATGATTGTAAAGGATAAGCTGTGGAGCTAGAAGTAGGAGCAAAAGAAACAGTGGAACAATCATAATCAGACAAATAAGCAGGTGGCTTCCTAATTCTAGTTGAAAGTCTACCAGGTGGATCAACAGGTTGTACA